AATCCTGTGTGTTTTTGGACCCTGACCCCGCCGATCTGCATGAGAGGTGACAACGAATTTCAGAAATGTTGCAAATCCAATGTGTTTTCGGACCCTGACCCCGCCGATCTGCGTGAGGGGTGCCACCGAATGTCAGAAATGTGGCAAATCTTATGTGTTTTTGGACCCTGACCCCGCCGATCTGCGTGATGGGTGGAACCGAATGTCAGACATGTGACAAATCCTGTGTGTTTTTGGACCCTGACCCCGCCGATCTGCGTGAGGGGTGGCAGCAAATGTTAGAAATGTGGCAAATCCTGTGTGTTTTTGGACCCTGCCCTCGCCGATCTGTGTGAGTGGTGCCATGGAATCTCAGAAATGTGGCAAATCCCCGGTGCTTTTGGACCCTGACCCTGCCGATCTGCGTGAGGGGTGTTAATTTTTACACACCCCAGCAATTCAGACAACACGCTCAGAGCGTGCTAAGAATGCCCGTTTTGGGCCTCCCCCCTCGCGCGGTCCATCAACAAGGAATAGTAAGCAGCAAGAAGTCAACAATGAACAATAAGCAGCAAGAAGCATAACTGAACCAGTGGAAACTGGAAGCTGCAACTGGTACAGGAAACTGCGAACCTTCGTCCTACAGCCTGGTGGCCCCACAAGGGGGCCGGCGGATATTACTACTAATGATAATGATGATGGTAATCAGAACAAAAGTATTAATGCTAAGAATACCGATAATATTACTAAGCAGAATAATTCCAATACTAATAAGAATAAGAAGAAGAGGAATAATAATACTAATACGAACAATAATAATACTAGTAACAACAATAATTATACTACTAATATTAATACTAATACTAATCATAATGATAATGATAATGATAATGCTAATGATAATGATAATGATACTGCTAATTATAATGATAATGATAATGCTAATGAGAATGATAATGATAATAATAATAATATCAATAATAATAATACTAATAATAATGTTATTAATAATAATACTAATAATACTAATAATAATAATGATAATAATAATAATACTAATACGACTAATACTACTACTACTAATAATAATTATAATACTAATAATACTACTAAGAATAAGATTAATATTCATAATAATAATAATGCGAAGAATAATACTAATACTAATAAGAGCAAGAATAATAAGAGGAGGAGGAGGAGGAGGAGGAGGAGGAGGAGGAGGAGGAGGAGGAGGAGGAGGAGGAGGGGGGGAGGGGGAGGGGAGGGGGAGGGGGAGGGAGAGGGGGAGGGGGAGGAGGTGGAGCAGGAGCAGGAGGAGGAGGAGGAGGAGGAGGAGGAGGAGGAGGAGGAGGAGGAGGAGGAGGAGGAGGAGGGGGGGCGAGGAGGATGAGGATGAGGAGGAGGATCAGGAGGAGGAGGAGGAGCAGGAGCAGGAGCAGGAGCAGGAGGAGGAGGAGGAGGAGGAACCAGTAATACTAATTACAGCACCGTGTTACTACGAGAAGGGGACGTGGTGCGAGGAAGTGCATGGGGAAAAGGAGGAGGAGGAGGAGGACAAGGGGGAGAAATGTGCCGAGGGTCGCAGCGGGGGCCTCCGATTTCGACGCCGTTGGTTTTCCAGCTCCTTTCGCCTCTGGACGGCACCGCGCTGGCTGATAAGGAGGCCTCGTTGTTCAAGCCGAAAGCCGCAGAAGTGGGATAGGTCCGCCTTCCAGTGTATGCCTTCTCACTGCCGCTGGCCAAGTTTTTCAGGGGGAGATTGGCAACGAGCGTGTTTGTGTATGCGTGTCTGCACGTTCATTCATCACCTCCTTTTCCTCCTCCTGCTGCTCTTCCTCTTCATCGCCCTCCTCTCCTCCCTGGCGAATCATGGCAATCAGGAGGGTGCGTGAAGTGATGCTTCTCCTGCATCCTCTTTGACCCGAGCTCGATGGCGGGACCCCCCCCTCTCGCGATCTTGGCTCAAGAGTTTGGCCTGGGGCGGTTTTGAGCTTCGCCAGGAGAGGCTGGTTCAGGTTGAGCCCTCAGCGAGCCTACGGCTGGCGCTTCGCCCACCCCCGATTTGCCGCGCAGCGAACGAGGCGGCTGCCAGGCTGCGGGCAGCCAAGGGGGGGGGGCAGTGCAGCGGGGCTCCATCCGCGCGGAGCTGAATTCGCACGGGGCTCCACTCGCGCTGAGCTTCACTGGCACGGAGCTGAACTCGCACGGAGTTCCACATCCCTTGGGGAGAGGGAGTACCAGTGACACGCCACCACCGGGAGCCCGTGAGCGCGCTCATCTTGCTCTTGCGCTCCGTCCTCTGTCCGAAGGCCTAGTGCTTCGGTGCTTCTTGGCGGCAGCACGCCGACGGGTTCCCCACGTCAGCCTGTATTTCGGAGACTGTTTTTGCCATCCCCCCCTCCCTCCTCCCCGCTCAAGCGGAGATACGCTCGAACATAGAACGGAACTGCACTCGCACGGAGCTGCACTCGCGCGGAAGCTGTTGCCGGATGACGGCGCATGCGGCTCGACGTGCCCGCGCCCAGGTCGGCGCCCCCTCGCGGCGGGCGAGTGCGTCACGGGGCGATCCATCGCGGAGGGGCGGAGAGGACTTCCTCGTCGTGCTTCCGAGGACCTCGGAGGCAGCGGCCGCGGCATCGCATGCGTGCCTGACTCGCCCTGCAGCACTGGAGCCCGTCTTTTCAAGGTCTGGGCGATGACGGCCGCGATCGGCCCAACACGCATGATGCTCGCGGATGCATCAGCATTCTGCTCACGTTCCGCGGGTTCGACGGAAAAATCAGCTTTGGGGTACATCAATTCTGTAGTTGATCCCCTGTAGATGGGAGTCTCCCCAATAATTGCTCTGTCCTTCTCTTCATGAGCCTGGCCCTGTTGCCTGAAGTGACGGGAGGGGCGATCAGCCCTACTGACAGGAAACCTAAAGAACTCAGCGAGAACTGGGGTGGGGGAGGGGGAACAAAAACACAAATTCTGTAGTTGAGCCCCTGCTCGAAGGCTCTGAACGGCCAGTGCGCCAGCGCCAGCGCGAGTGCCTGGCGGAGACTACGGTGCGCACCGACTGCGGGAGCCCGCCCCCCCGCTTCACGGCGGCAGGGGTCGACGGCCGCGCGTCGGTGGGGGAGGCTGGGCAGCGAGGGGCCCCCGTCGACGGCTGCCCCGCCAGCGGCGTCGCCAAGTTATGATGTTCCGACCTACTTTAGTTAAGTCGGGCCTGTCTCTCTACAGGAGGAAGATTCAAAAATAGTCAGACAATAGTATGGGGACAACTTTTGAGTATTGTTGGACCGTCTTGGAATGTGTGTCGTTTTTTTTTTTTTTTTTTTTTTTTTTTTTTTTTTTTTTTTTTTTTTTTTTTTTTTTTTTTTTTTTTTTTTTTTTTTTTTTTTTTTTTTTTTTTTTTTTTTTTTTTTTTTTGTATTATTATTATTATTATTATTATTATTGTTTTTGTTATTGGTATTATTATTATTGTTGTTATTATTATTATAATATTATTGATAATAATATAATCATTATTATATATCGTCGAAAATCCCCCTGTAGGGGGACAGGTCCGACTCAAGGTTATGATGTTCCGACCTACTCTAGCCTTGATCGCAAGAAAGAACTTCGAGCACCAGGGAAACACCAGCATTGGAGGGCTTCCTCGTGTCGGGCCCTTCGCTGGCGTGTCCGGCAGACATTGCTTCGATATTCTTCGGGGTGCTCGAACTGATTTCTGGGATGTGCTCCTCGAGAATGCTGGGAACAACATCATCCTCGGGGGTCATTTGCACCGAGAGTGCAAGCCGTACTGCCGTTCCCTGCCGCCCTCGCCAACTTCGAGCCCGCGGAGGGCACGGGGTGCGCCGCAAGGCAGGGCCCTGCCGTGGTTTCCCTCGCGGCCTCGGGGGCGGACCCCGCCTGCGTCGCCCCGCCAGATCGGCGGCGCGGAGACTCGTGGTGGCTGTGCCGACTGCAGGAACCCACACCTGCGCGGCCTGTCGCTGCAGCGCAGGCGCTCGTGGGCTCGTCGAGTTCTTGAGCGCCTCGTGCCCCGGCGGCGGGTTTGCCAAAGGGGGGCAGGCTGCAGATGGCCGGGTGCGGTCCAGAACTTCGCCGTGCGCGGTTCTCAATCGCTCGGCTCCTTCAGGGACGTCGACATGTGTGCGCAATGGTCAAGTGCGGGTGCGTTGACAAGCTCTCCCGCTGGGGTCGCACGGGGCTAGGACGAGGAGAAATCCGTTCCAGAGCGTTCCGGAACGCTCTCAGAGCGTTCCACAACGTTCCGAGAAGGCCGCGGCGCCCGAGACATTCCAGAGTGCCGCCAGATCTCAGAGATTCTCGAGTTCGCCTCACTCGAATTTGTCCTCGTCCTAGCTTCGTCCTATCAAAAGCGCACAGAACATCCGCACCGCCACTCTCAAGAGGTGCGCAGCCACGGGGATGTCGACATTCGGCGGTTCCACTGTGCGGCCAGCGGCTCCACGATGAGCCGCACATTCCATGTCGTCGTGCGGCTCATGGCGGCCTACGAGGGGATTGTCGCCTTCCCCGCCGCCGCCAACAGCAGTCTGAGGGGGCGTTGGATGCTAATTACCTCCGTTCCCTCTCGACTGGCCGTTGCCGCACGTGGCTTCGTTGCCGTGCGTGCCAGCTCAGGCCAGGGTGACAAAGGAAACACTAGTCCTCTTCCACTTCCTCTTCCTCTCCCTCTCCTTCTGCTTCTTCTTCTTCTTCTTCTTCCTCTTCCTCTTCGTCTTCCTCTTGCTCTTCCTCCTCCTCTTCCTCTTCCTCCCTCTTCTTCCTCTTCCTCCTCTTCCTCCTCTTCCTCTTCCTCTTCCTCTTCCTCTTCCTCTGCCTCTTCCTCTTTCTTTCCTCTCTCCTCTCCCTCTTCCTCTTCCTCTTCCTCTCGTCCCTTTGTGGTTGCTGCTCCCCCCAGCAGCGTCGTCGTGAACAGCACCACCACTGTTGCGAATCTTCCCTTCCGTTTTCAGCGCGGCCGGTGCCCACAGGGCACTGCGGGGGAGCACAGCCGCATGGCACCGAAGTGCCGCGCCCCCGCATTGTGGCCGCCGCGGCTGCTGGTTGCGAGCCGTCCCGCCGACGGCGTGATGCCGCGCTGTTGGACTCGCCAGGAGGCGGAAAACTGGAGGAGGAGGAGGAGGAGGAGGAGGAGGAGGAGGAGGAGGAGGAGGAGGAGGAACATCAAGATCATCTGGTTCCTTCGTGGTTCTCTTCCCCTTCGCTGGGGTCGGGAGCTTGAGCCATTCCGCGGAGGGCCGGTGAGGGCCTCTTCGCCGGCGTGCCAAGCCGCGCGGCTGGGGCAGGAGGCCGGGCCGCGCCCCCCGCCGTCGGGGTCGGAGTAGGTCCGCGTGGCGCGGGCAGCGGCGTACTTGGCAGCTGTCCAGGCAGCCGCGCGAGTGCGTGATCGGGCCTTCGCTGCTGGTTCGCGCTTGCGCGGGCGGACCTCGACCTGCTGCGCGACGGGGCGCCGCTGCCTTCGTCGGAGGGGCTCGTCTCGTGGGCCCTGACGTCTAGGTGGCGCCGGGGATGCTGCGACTGCGTTTCGCGCGTGCGCCGTGGCTGCCGCGTGGGCGCGTCTGTGTTTGGTTGCCCTGCGACTCGGCGCGCCAAGGCCGCGGCGGCCAAACGGGCGCGGCGGCGCCCAGGCAGCGGCCCTTAGACGGGCTGCATCTGCTGGAGAGGCTTAGCTTACGTGTTTTGGGGGACCCGCGGTGGTTTTTCTGTCTGGTCGCTTGCGTTGGTATGCGGCATCGCTCCTTGGCTGGCCGCGTGCTGGCGGATCGGCCAGTTTTTCCCCCGTGCATCCAGGGCGCTTGCGCGCTGGGTCCTGTGGCGTCGCCTCGGCGAGTTGGCGGCGATGAGCTGGGCCGAGTGCCGTGCGCGGGGGCGGGGCGGGGGCGGTTGAGGCGAGCGCGCGAGGTTCGCGCGGCACGTCGCCGTGGGCGGCGATTGCGCGCACGCCGGGGCACGCGGACATCGGGTCGCGCGTCTGCAGAAAACTTGCGCGCGGGAGACTGATGTGCGAGCGGTCGCTGTCGCGTCTGGGATGCCGGCCCCGCGGGCAGTCTGCCCCGCTTCGCAGGTTGACGGCCTTTTTGGCGCATCTGGATTTGAGCGCGACGCGGTGGTCCGGCTCGCGTGGCCGAATCGTCGGGCGAAGATGATTCGCCCCATTCTGTGTCGCTGAGTAGCCGTGCCCAGCGCTCCCCGTTGCAGTGGGTGGAGACGCCGCGTGGCTGCCGCGCGCAGCGCTGGGGATCCTTGTGGCATTGGGTTCCCGCGCCGAAGGCGCTCCGTGCGGCGCGCTGGCCAGGGCCGCGCTGCGTGTGGCTTATTGCCGGGCGCCGTGGAGTGCCGCCGCCCGTCGTCGTGGGTGCGTGCGTCCGCTGGGCGTCGAGGGCGCCTCCCGGGAATGTGTGGCATGCCCGCGACCCCCCGTTTGGGTTCGGAGGGCTCCAGGTTGAGTTGGTGGGGCGTCGCAGATTCCGCGGCGGCGCCGACGCGCGGCGCTGGGGCGCTGCCGCGCAGCGCCCGCGTCCGCCGCGCCTGCCAGTTCGGTTCGGTCGGACGCGACCGGCCCCCCCCCCCCCGCGCAGCGCGCGCTGCGTGGGAGGAAGCCGCTGTTTCGTTGTGTACGCCCGCCGCCCGACGCCAAACGTTGAGTTCTCGCGCCCCAGGCGCTCCGTGCGGCGCGCTGGCCAGGCCCGCGCTGCGCATTGCCTTGGCCGGGCGCCGTGGAGTGCCGCCGCCCATCGCCGTGGGTGCGTGCTCTTGCTCGGCATCGAAGGCGCGGCGCGGGAGTTTATGGGGCCATTTTGCGCTGTCGTTGGGCCGTTTTGGGGGCAAGTTGGGCCATCTTGAGGATCTCGTGGGCAGTCTTTCTTGCGGCTGACTTGAAGGCTTCTTGGGCAGTCGTGGAGGAATTTTATAGGCAGTGAGTGTGGACAAGAAAGTGCGAGGACGCCAAACTATGCCAAAACGTATTCATGAACACTTTGGCTTCATTGAGCGTTTTTGGATGTCTCTGGGGCCGTCTTGAGGTGGTTGCGGGCTGCATTGGGGCCGCGTTGGGCCATCATGGAGCCGACTAGGTCCAATTTGAAGGTCTACTGAGCTGTCTGTGATTTTTGAGTTTCTTGGGCAAAAAGGTGGGAGCACGAACATATCCGGACGCAGAAAGTGTGTGATTATGTTTTTTGGGCTCTGCGGACTTCCTTGTAGAAGCTTATCGAGTCGGGGCGTCTTGGAGGCTTTGGGGCTGTCTTGAGGTGGCCGTGGGCCCCGTTGGGCCGTCTTGGGACCGACTTTGGCCAACCTGGAGGCTTCTTGCCACTTCCTTGGGCCATCTTGCGGCCATCTTGGACCGCCCTGGGCCGTCCTGGGAACCATCCTGAGCTATTCTGTTCATCTTGGAAGTGAGTTTTCTGGCAGTTACGTTCTTTTTGGTTGGTTTCGGGTGGCCAGCGGGTTGCGCCTAAGGCCACCGGCAACCTGCTGGAATCGGCTACACGT